TCGGGCGGTGAATTTTCAGTTTGTTTGCTCCGTTATTATTTTGTTGATTTGTAAAATAACCTGTTCGCCATAAATCGTGTTTTCCGTTTTTTAGTTCCCAAAACTGTTGTGACAAAATTAGTGTGATGATTCTTTTTCCATCTTCAATGCGTAATACATAGTACCGGAACAACTGCTGGCGGGGACTACTGGCGGTATCTTACATTCAGTTCACTTTTTATATCATGTATAACAAATCTAACTTCATTGAATCCGTCAAATTATTTATTGAGAATGTGAAGATTAAGAAAAATAAAACAGGTAAAACAAGGATGCTCACACACACGCTTTTACAGCTGCTTGACTCGTGCTTTACGTGTAGCCATGCATTGAAACAGTTCCTACGACCAGAAACAAACTGTAGAACTTTCATCCATCTTTTTAAAAGGTGTATTCAACCAATATTATTGTATGAGTCAGACATCTGGGGTCATAATATTCAAGATTACAACAAAGGCAAAAAAAAATTTGTGTTGCCCTCAGCGACCGACCGAAAAATATGAAATATCGGGTCGCTTTTTTCCCCATATACCTCGGCTATTTACGATACCCGTAGTTTTCACGAGTTTAAAAAAAAATCCGACCGACCGACCAAATTTTTCTATTTTCCGACTTGAGGGCAACATAAGTTGTTGTTTTTTGGGCCAAATGAGACGAAACAATAACAGAAAAAACACAATTGAATTTTTACAAACAACTACTAGGGTTGAACAAATTTGTGGTAAACATTGCATGCAGAGCCGAAGTAGGAGAATTACCACTCTTAGTAATTATTCAGATCAATTTAATAAAATACTGGACTCGTATCAGTATATTACCAGGCAATAATATCACAAAACAAGCATACCTTGAACAAAAGAAATCCAATTTACAATGGTACTCTTCAATACAAAAAATGATGAACAGCATGAACTTTTCACGAGAACAGAATGATTTGTTAACAAAACATATACAGCAAATTGGCAAAGTTGTCAAACAAAAATACATAAATTTCTGGAGAAAAAATATAACTGAAAAAACAAAACTGAGAACTTATGAAAAATTCAAAGACTCTTATAATTTTGAAAAATACTTGGATGTGTTGAATTTGAAACAAAGAATTTCAATGACAAAATTTCGAACTAGTAATCACAATGTAGCAATAGAAAAAGAGAGGCATACGCAATATTAGAATAGAATTTGCAAATAATGTACACAGAAATGAAAAGATGAACTGCACTTTGTTATGATAGACTCACAATATAAATCGTACAAGACATTACATTTCCACAAGAAGAACAGGATGATCTCCAGAAATTGTATTTCTTGATGACTTCAAAAGATGATGTAATAATAAAAAAGATTGGCAACTATATCCATAACTCATTTCAATCAAGAAATGAAAATGCCATTTGATATGTAACACTTGCTTTATCCCATTAACAACTAACTTTCTTTTTTGTAGTGTAGTAGTTATCACAACTAATTTTTATTGCTACTAACTGATACAGACATTGTATTTCTAAGGATACAATAAAGTTATTATTATGTAAATAAACAATACATGTACGCGTTTTCTTTCAAGTGACGTCAGAGGTCATTCAGCGACCTTTGAAGCCGGAAACAACACAGTCCTGATTACATTCCAAGCGAAGTCCCGGTCGATTACTTATCTTGTCTGCGGAAAAGATTTCGATATTCAAAGCCAAATTTTTTTTCTCCCGACGTTTCCTCTAAAAGATTTTAAAGCTTGTATAGATTCCTTGATAGATTGATTCCTTGTATAGATAGACGGTTAAGGTGAGATATTTTTTTGTGTGTGCGCCGATGTGCGTTTGTGAAAATCATGTTTGAAATTACCAGTTACCATTTTTTCACGTTTTGTTTGTTTAAACGATGTCAAACTTGGCTAAAAGATTTCGTTTTTAAATGGAGGTAAAATGTGTGTCTCTAGCTTAAGATCCCTTTCAAGTTCCCTGGTGTCGCTAACATTCCGTGAGAAATAGGAACAACCAAAACTTAAAGCTTAAGCTTTTAGATAACCAAACGGATTTTATGTTGTCAGATAACCAACTCTTATCATATTAAATAACAGTATGTCACGTTACTCGGTACATGTGCTCGGCAGAATTTGTGTTTCCAAGATGGCGATACCCACTATTGTCGCCGTTATGCTGAGAGTATCCGATTGTATCGACCCTCGTATATGCACATTTCGGCTTTTAAACTATCATATAGTTAGTACTATTTGGGGGTTAGGTATCCCAAAAAATTGGCAAATATTATTTTCATTGCTGTTCTCTTATTTTTTCATTCGTTTTTATATTCCCAGTTAAAAATTCGGTCTTGTTTGTGGCCAGGTGCCAACTTGAAGCCACACACGACGACGGTGGTGGCAACGATGTAGTCTGTGTTTTTTTTCACATACTCTTCGTGCATATATCCTGCATCTAAATACTGAGGACATTCTTTCATTATGTTATTCCAATCAATATCACTATCGCTGAAATCGGCGAAATCTTCGTGTTTTCCACCCATACGAAAATAAAATACCCGGAAATCGGAAACTTTTACAGCAGTGAAACATGAAAATAAAGTTGTGTACGCCTGTTTAAAAATGAATTGCGAGGTATTCTGGGTGAAAATGATGTCATATCCTATGCTATTTTTATAATAATGTTGGCAGTATGGGGATTACCGGTAATCTAATTTTACAAACGCGAAACACTATAGAACACGGAGCGTTTCCTAACCGGGTGTGGAGAAACTGCGTTTAAGTGTATCAAACTAATTACTGATTAAAGAGATTTTCGGTAATGAAGATATACAGAGGTCCCAATCTTTCTGAATCGGATGGCGCTGTGTACTGGACATATCATATCCAATGAAGGAAAGCGATCCGTGGTACATCGTGGCCATTCCAGGATGTAAACTCGTTCTTACAATTAAATAATTACAACATTAGTATATCAGGCCCATTTTATAAGATAATTCAATCGTGTGCATGCGACGCAAAACTTAATATATTGCCAAATATTTTGATTTCAATTATTTCCATGGGATAGCAAATTTAGTGTTTTTTGGCAAATTTGTAATTCACTATCAGTATGTTTAAATTTCCGTGAATTAACATTATGGCATTTTACGTCTGTCAAATAACGGCCAAATAAATACGTGGAATCATTAATTACTAAGGACCTGGCGTAGAATTGGAAATTACTCCAAATAAACAAATATCCAATTCGGGAACACGATAATAGTATATTTGGTTATTGATGAAATAGTAGGGCGCCACCAGACGGTCTGGCTCAGCAAGTGCGTCGTGTTTTACTCATAAAGTTGACGCTAATTTGTACCCAAAGGAAGCCGCTCATCCCGCCATTGGATGACGGCACATCGTGTATGTTAAACTGTGGGCGTGTTTTTTTATTTCTGTGCTAAATGTGCAACAACAAAGTCCCGCCATTTATTTTTCATGGTTGTTCGACCATAGTCGTCTGCACCAGTATCGCGTGTTCTAAGTTTGGTTTACTATGTTTGTCGCTCGACACCATATTCCCTCTCGGTACCGACGCCCAACTCGGCGTGCTGGGGAGGAAATCTACTTACCACGCCACTCCACCTCGATACCTCTACTTCCCGGAAACGTGCTTTCCAATACGAGACTGATTTCTCTATAAGTTCGGCCATTTAAAATCATATTCTGGACAATTAAATGGTCAGCTTCCATTGCTGCTCCAAAATCATTCAGAAAATGGCAGCGCAAAAACCGCGCAAATTCATTTTACTGCCACTTTACGGCGGTTTTTACAGACACCAGGTAATTCTGTTACTCAATGGCTGAAGCAATTTCACATCGACCAGACACGCCCCAAAACAGATGACGACATTTGACAGGATCGGCCAGTGCGCATGCGTATAAAACAGCTGGTACTAATATCCTAATAACTTATTTTGCACTCGTACAAATGCAAAATACATATTTGATTAGGTTGGTTGGCCATCAAGTACCATCCTATGGCACCCAATTCATATATCACCAATACCATAGTACAGAGTTATGTTAACAGCGAGTCAATAATAAGACTAATGTACTAAACGTCATTTCCGGTTGATTTGTTTATGTTAAAACACGAGGCACCCGTGTTATAACTAACTAGGTCGCCGCGTTAGTCTTTTTCTGTGTTTTCGCCGCCAATTTCACACTACGAACCTTTAAACATCTTTTTGTAAATACCGGTCTGACAAGCTGATAGCAAGTATTTACTATAATTCATTCACTGACAATTATCTAAGCTACGTAAACAGGTCATACTACGGCCGTAGTTCGAAATCCAGTGAGTGTCAGAAAATCTCCGCCCGGCATTCGGCGGCCGATCATCGGAGAGACTAAGCACATTGACTACTTGATCCATCTACATCGAATTTGTAACTAGGTCAGTACAAGGAAAATGGAGGCAAGCCAAGAAGGTATGGCGAACAACTCCAGTGGAAGGTAATAAAAACGTCGAACCAGCAACCAATAACTGATTTATTATTGTGGTCGTAAGGGCTCGACCATTAGAAACGCTGGGGTAGTCAATCCCAAATACGGGGACATTATTACCTCCTGGTGTGTATCTGTATTTACTCATTGTAACCTGATCAAATATTTTTCTAGACACGTATTCATACTAGTATGTCATAATATTACATGAGAGGTTAATTAATACAATGTACCTTCTGTACTAATACTAACTACCGGTACTACTATGGATGCTAAATTCATGAGACAATTGCGTTGTCAAGATGGGTCAGGCAATATTTCTTGAAATATCATCGTGTCGGTTTTTCAGGCTACTATGGTCGCCCAAAGTCATTTGCCTTGTGTAACCCGTTTCGACGCTGATTGAGTTGTCTCGTGCGTTTCTCGGAACGTTGCCTCAAGACGTGTGAAAGACGGCATTAATATTAAAGTTGCGCTCTGACAGCATTAATTTGGGTCTAAGAACTACTATCGACGCAGTAAACCTATTCCCTTTGTTTCATTACTAATTGTTAATTGGTAGTTGAATCCAACAAACCAGTGCAGAACGCAATGACCCATTTGAAAATGTTCCAATGTTGTTCCATAGGCCAATACAAACCTCCTGTTTATTTTGAATTTTATAATTTATAATTTTTATAAAATTAAGAGAATGGGTTTGTTTGGTCAATAGTATTATATGAAATATTTATGGTCTAAATTTGTGCAAAAGTATACCAGTATATTTTCAAGTTTATTGCGGCTTTAAATAATGATGGTTTGAATTGGTGCAAATTATTGGAAATAATTCAAATTTTCAGTGCATCCAAATGCCGGTGATTATTTTCGGCTACCAACTTGATTGTGTGTTTAATTTTTCTTTCCTATTAAACACTGTTACATGAATCCAGGCAGTTGGGTTTCAATTCCCAATTAATGTCTGCTGCAGTGACTAGTCCTTGTTTTTTTTTCTCCAGCAAAATCAGACTATCGAATAATAATAGTCCCAAGTGCTGAATAAAGCTCCTTGACTGAGTTCTACTTCAATATTATAATAATTTTTTTGTTAAATTTTACTGTGTGTTTTACAAAGATGAAACATGATATATATTTGTTTGCATCACTCACATTTTTTCTGTGACATTTTTGCTGGCATGCTTCCAGCTTTCCTGAATGAAGGTTAAGCTGATCTAACTGGGCTGTTCCATTTTTGGCATTGCTTATGTGGATAGGGTTAATAGGAACACAAAACAGTGTCAGGTTTTTTTTAGCTCCGCTGTTGACTTTGTCGAGCAGAGCTTATCATATGAGTGATTGTCCGTCGTCGGCGTCCGTGTCAATGTTTTACTTTTTCAACTTCTTCTTGAAAACTACAAGCCTGAATGCTTTGATACTTGGTGTATATGTACCTTGGGTAGACTTCACTCAGATTTGTTCATTTCATGATGATATCTTCAATTCTCTAATTTTGATGAATATTTTTGTCATTTTTGGTAAAAAGTGATATTTTCGACTTCTTGTTAAAAACCACGAGTCCAATTGCATTTATATTACTTATATAGGTACTACAATTGAACCTCTTTCAGATTTGTTAATTTCGTTGTGATATCTTCAATTATCTAATTTTGATGATTATTTTTGTCATTTTTGGTGAAAAGTGATATTTTCGACTTCCCGTTGAAAACCGCAAGTCCAATTGCTTTTATATTACATATATAACACTACGTATGGACTTTTTTCAGATTTGTCCCGTTGCTTTTGTTCATTTTCTAATGATATCTTTAGTTCTTTAATTGTAATGTGCATTGCTAACAGCGGAGCTATCTCAGCCGACAGGCTGCTTGTTTTAGTTTGCAATATAATTCAGGCCTATTCAATTCCCCTTCTTTTGTTGTATGTTGAAATTCTATCCAAAGTTGTGCATACATTTACTGCATCCCTATAATCGAAATGGTTGCTCCCTGGAAACATTTCAACAGCCTAAGTTTTTATTCGATGTGCACTGTTTATAGCTGTTCTGTGTATATGTTACACAACTGTCTTCAAACATTGTATTTTTTTCAAGCTTGAACTTAATCTTTTATTTGTCAGTAGAAAAGGTATGTTCTTTTATGAAATGTTACACAATATATTGTATTGAAATTTACGTTGTTATTATTTGAAGTCTATTTGAAATTTTAATTGTTCTATTTATTGAAAGAAGAAGAAAGTCACTTTTTTTTGTTATTTAATCTTCCAAAAATTGACTTAAATCTCATGATGATGACAACAAAATTGTTGACTGAACATTTGCCTTCATAGACCTAATTTCATTCCTGATATAACTTGTCTTGTGTTCAATAATGCAAACAAGGATGTAAATTTCTTTTACTTACAGCCATGTACACAAATTAGAATACAACTGAACAACTTATTTATTTTGTGTAAAACTCTCACACTAAAAACAATTACTGAGAAATTGGGAATTTTTTTTTTTTTCTAGTATTATATACCATAGTCTGTGCTTGCCTCTGCATAATTATGTACTTAAATCTGCACTGCCAGTTATGTCCTATTAATAGTGTACCTAATAATATATTAGTCTATTTTGAAAATTATGATATAGGCTGAAGTAGTCTGTATTTACCAAGACTAGATTCACTGACGTCAAAACGAAAGTTGGATAAATGGCTGCCATTCCTAACATTCCGTGATGTACATGTATTGTAAAGCATGAACTTTGGTATTCTCAAAACACTCATGTTCAATATGAAGGAAATATTGAAGGGCATGTTCAAGACATTTGGTTGGGGCATCAAGGCATTTGCCTCCACAGCCTCTGTGAATTTCAAGCCCCGTGCATGTTATATATTGTGTCATGCAGTTATATCGAAGGCATACTGAATTGCATTTATTTTGCAGCAGTGTAACTTTCTTTGTAGTTCTTTAGCCAGAGATCAAGGCACGATGATTTTCTCTGGGGCTCCTAACTCAGAGAGGCACAGTGACTTTCACTGGGGCTCTTTAATAATTAATCAGAGTTGCACTGTGATTGTCACTTGGGTTCTTTAGCCAGAGAGGCACACTGACTTTCACTGGGGCTCTTTAATAATTAATCAGAGTTGCACTGTGATTGTCACTTGGGTTCTTTAGCCAGAGAGGCACAGTGACTTTCACTGGGGCTCTTTAATTAATCAGAGAGG